GGAGGGGCGCGCGGAGCCTCGTGCGGGTCGCGCCTCGCGGCTGCCTTTGTCCGCGCCGGGTAGCGGGGCGGGCGGCCGCCTCGGCGCCTCGCGGCTTCCCTGCCTCGTCCTTCATGTTTCTTTTCTCTTGGCTTGCGCGCGGCGCTGAGGACTCGGCGTAGGCGCCTGTGGGTGGCGGGCGGCGCGGAGCCGGGCCCGGGCGCTCCGTGGCGCGGGCTCCGAGCGGCGGCCCCGCTGAACGGGCCGGGCCGCGGCCGCCGCCTGCAGCGCTGCCCGCTGGCCCCGGGTTCGGTCACCCCCGAGGGGCCCGAGGAGCCTTTCCCGGGGTTATGTGCAGAGTTTAGTGTTAATCTTCGGGCTGTGCTGGCTGCGTGCGCGTTGGGCAGTTCTTGTTCTCCTGCAGAACTTCACGTGTACCCCCCGGCCAGCACTGCGTCCTTCTTCAGCTTCCAGTCGGCTGTGCTATCCCAAGCCTCTGCGTCTGCCTGTTTCCATGGTTATTTCTTTTGGTATCCCGGATTCTGCTAACCCTGCATCGATTCCTGCCTCACTTGAGTCCATTCTTAACTATCACTAACAGAGCCCTGCGATATCAGTAGTAGTTCTCCCTCCTGCAGCTCGGAGAGTTTCATCCAGTGAACAGAACAGAGGCCTTTTTTCCATCTCTAGCGGAGCCCGTTGTGTGCGGCAGCTGTGGTTACCTGTTTTGAGCTGCTGCCTTGGAGAAGCAAGCAGAAGGAGGCTGCCAGTCCGCAGGGAGGAAAAGCCAGCATAAAACCCGCTTTGTGCCCGTCTTGGATGGTCCTGGTTCCATCAGTGCTTGTAAGTGGGTTCCTGTGGAAGCATAATTTCAGGGAACGTGTAGATACTCTAATAGTACTATTTAGTTCCCAGCTCTGGAGAGCTGCAGCACTTCCATAGATTGCATGTCATGCCCGTGCATTTGGATGCTCCCAGCATGTCCTTTCCCCATAGTCTTGTCCAGTCTCCCCTGTGACTGCGGCATCCTTTGGTGACGTCCTGCACAGAGTTGCCTGCTGCACAAGAACCAGCTCCTCTCATTCACTTTGTACCTGTCTCCTAGTTATGTTTGCTGTCCCATATTCCTTGTATTGGAAAAGGCTGCTTAGCCGCTCTTTTTTTCTTCTTGATTTTATACATTTTTGTTGTACTGCCCCTAAACTGTTTATTTTAGACTGCCAGGTCTGAATATTCAAAGTAGTTTCTCACATGGTCTGTTTTAAACATTTGACTGTGACTGCCCTTGTTACTGTTCTGACCCCTCTTTTGCCTTTGCAATTTTTTTCCCTATCTTGATTCCTACTCGGTGTTGAGCTGATGTTCTGGCAGAACTGTGTACACACTGCTAAAATTTTCCTTGGGAAATGAGGCTTACTTTATCACATGGAMTGCGTTTTTTTCCTTCCTTACTTAAAAGTCTAGTCCAATCTACCTCTTATCTGTTACGGATAAGCACCAGGAAAGGTCTCCAGCACAGCTGCATTGCTAGATGTGGTTTCTTGGTACTAGAGGAAAAAGAGCTGTTGTAACTAGAATGATATTCAGCTTCCTGCAGTTAAGCATAGTCTCACTGTGGCTCACGTGGGTACTCAGTTTACAAATGGGAGGTTCTTGGTCTTTTTGTTTTGTTTTGTAGTTTCAGTTATTTTTCAGTTGCTTTTGTGTTGATGTATCTATATAAATCCTTTCTCTTTCAGATGGGTAGTGGAGGGTGATGAGTTGTGTTCCTCTAAAAGGATGCTCTGGTGGTCAGCAGTGACGAGACACTAGTATCCACATAGGGGTTCAAAGTTAGCAGAGATTAGCAAAGCTGGCTCAGAAGGGTGAGGACACTATGTATCAGGATATATATAGTGAGGATAATATAAGATATTGCTTTAAGACGGAATATGCAAGCACTGGCAGTGTTTTCATTTTTCTTTATGATTTTTGCTTTGGAAGAGCAATGTTTTTTAATACTTAGAGCTCTAGTGGGCCACACACACATCTGTTTTCAAGAACTTTGTCTATTTGAATTCCATAGGGAATGTGTAGGGGGATAAAGCCATTTGTGTAGCACTCAGTCTTAAATATTTTAGATGATTGTCTTCTAAAAATGAAGAGATAAGCAAAACTGTGATGAAATTAACAGTTAATTTATTTTACAAGTTCTATGCTATGTAGAAACTTGCTTTCTCCTTTCCAATATTTTAAGACTTTTTTATTTTCAGTCATTTAAATTTCCTTTTCTTTGGCAGCAGGTGGAATGCAAGCAAAAACAGAAAAGTTAAAATCTTCTCTGAAGAATGTGAAAAAGGATCTAACAAAACCAGAGAAACTTAAATATAAGCCACTTACCGGGAAGGTGTTTTACCTTGATATTCCCTCAAATGTCATCTCTGAAAAATTAGAGAAGGACCTTAAAGATCTGGGAGGGGTAAGTTAATGAGCAGACATTTATGAAACTAGAAGAAAGGCCGTCCATGTGGGATGGCTTTCCCATGGTTTTTCTTACTGCATTTTAAAGTTATGCATACTATTTATATGCCTTTTTTAATATTTATATCATAGTGCTTTAATGTGAATGATGAGTTTATCAATAAATTACTTCATTTGTTATATTGATAGAAGTTATATTGATAAAGTATTTTGCTGATTGTGATAAAGGGGATTGAGGCTTGGTTTTAGTTGGTTATTGATTTGATTGTTAGAATTTTATCTAGGTTTAATAAGTTTGGTTGGTTGAGTTAATTTTCTGCAGCTTCTAACTATTTTGACAATTTTCTTTGTGTGTTAGGACTTGTTACAAGTACGGTTGTTCAGCTGAGCCTAAAACAGTATTTGAGTAAATGTTTTGCGTATGTTTCCAGAAAGTCTTAAAATAGATGTAAAATTTCTTGATGAGCCCTGATGCTTATAAGCTTGATACAGGTTAACAGATAAGACTGTTTCCTGAATTAAGCACTTCTATGTTGTTTTGCTTTATTTTGCCTGAAGCAGGTAGTGGCAGATTTACAGAGGCAGAGCTGGGGTCAGTATATACTGCTTGGTGAAAGAGAGGGAGGATGGAGCTGTCCCGCTTTGTGTTCAGAGCAGCCTGAGGAGAAGGAATTGGAGAAGGAGCTTGGGGGGCTGCAGGACCCAAATGATTTTCAAGAGAAGCATTTAGATTTTGTAGACCAGGTAGAAAACTGGCATCTGAAACAGGGGGCATGGGGGCCAGGTAAAGCTAAAGCAAAGGGCAGAGTTAGAGAATAGTTAAGAACAGGAGTAAAAGGATGGGTGCTGAGGTATGGAATAGGAACAGTGGCTTAAAGACAGGACAGTGATGTGTCCCTATAGGACTGTATAGAGAGCAGGGTCAGCCTGGGGCTTTAAACAAAGGGGTTTGTATAGCAGACTCCACTGAGAATCTGCCCTTTCCCCTTGGGGCTTTTGGGCATACATTCTTTTGCTGTAAGCAAACTGCTGAAAGCCACATCCTTAAGATACCTTTTTCTATTTCCATCACCCTTTATGTATGGAAAAGTCACTTTCATCCAAGCCCAGCACAGGGTATCATATTAACAGAGAAGATACGCTGTTGTCTTGTCCACTTCACCACTGAATTATTTGAATCTGTGTGAAGGAATCTCAGCAGTAAAGTTGTCAAAAATTGCCTTTAATCAGAGTGGCTAAAGGGAGCTGATTAACCTGCTAGCCACTCTGGAATTATTTTGGCAGCATTTTTCTGGTGCTGGAGGAGCAAATATGAAACACTTGTGAACCAAGGTACTATGTGGATTTACAGTAGAGGCAAAATATTACAAAGCAGGATTTCAAATTAGATACATCTCTTTGAATTTAGCATTAGTCTTGCACATTATCTTTTGTCTAATAGAGATTACAACATTATGAAATTGAAATTAGAAATTTTGACTGGTAAAATGTGACTGTTAATTGTAGTTGTCATCTTAGATGTGAGAAATATCTTGATTATCCAGTGTTTTTATACTTGCGTTTCCTGCAAATCAGTTTTCTGTTTAGTGTATGCAAAGTAGAAAGTTAATTGATTTATTGATCTGAAATAATGTTTTTTTTCTTTATRTTTAGAAAGTGGAAGGCTTTCTTAGCAAAGATATTAGCTATCTCATTTCTACTAAAAAGGAGGCAAAATTTGCACCAACCCTTGGTCAGATTTCTCCAATTCCTAGCCCAGAATCCGCCCCAAATGGAGGGAACAGTTCATCACATCCCAACAGCCGGAGAGATSGACATGATGGCAGTTCATTTAAGACAGCAGATGCAGTAAGTTGCTTATGAATAATGCTGCAAATCAAGTACAACCCATGAGATAATCTCTTGTAGTTTTTCTCCTGTTTTCTTTCTTAAAGATAAGTCYGTCGTATTTATACTTTTTTTTTGTATTTCTTCAATCTTTTTAAACCAACTCTTAATTAAGCAGAGTTTCAAAAAAATTAAAAACATTTGCTGCAAATCAATCATACTGAAATTTGTTCTGTATATATGTTAGAATTGTAATTGAACATTGAAATTATTATGTATGACAATGGGATCAGTGGGGACTGGCTTGTGATGGCGTCTGATGCTGCCAATCTCCTTAGCAATGCAGCCTCTACAGAAACTATAGATGCCTAAATTTGCATAGAATGGCTTGAAATTTGTTACATGGACTAGTCATACAATCATTGAGAATACAGGTAGAAATTAAAGCTGTACAGTACATTGCACTTAAGCCTATGGCTGTGAGCCAGCTGGAGTGCTTGTCTTCTGTTATTGTTCAGTGGGAGGGAATCCTCTCATCTTGCAAATAACAAAAAGAGTACTGGATAGGTGTGTGTATGGTCATTATATACAAATAGTGTTCAGAACAAGCTGCACTTGCAGAAGAGATTTCCTAAGAGTGAGGTTATGGTCACCTTGACTGTTGGCCTAATTTGGCAGAGATTCCAGTTGTTGGAAGCTTGTTTTTTGATATTCACTTTGCTTAAAACCATAAGTACTTTTATGGTCAGACTGAATCAACTGCTACCTTTTAGAGAAAGATACAAATTAATGAAAAACAATAGTACAATCAGAAAAAAATGAGACTACTGTAGATAATGTAGGTATGTAAGCTGAAATTTAACCTACCTTAGCTTTTGCTTTCTGAAATGGATTGCAAACATGACACAGCATTTCTCTTTTAATGTAGGTACGAATGAGCAGAGGGAAGTCTTTAGCTGAAAAAGCAATCAAAGAGCAGGTAAGACGAGTAACCAGCAGATTTGTGGGAGTTTAAGTGCTGCTCTTCTCGAAGGCCAGCAGTAGGGAGAAGAATGAGGGTCCAGCACAGTTCTCATGGAACCAGCGTCCAGGCAGAAGTCGGGATTCTTCTCAGCAGCCAAGTCATGTTAGTTGGGATCTGCCTGGAGAATTGGAAGTCTCTGTAGAATCTTAGGTCCAGAATTACAACTTAGCCAGGTTTTAGTATATCTAGCATTTATAAGAGATCCTGGTGAACGTAAACGTACCAATTCAGTAACTTCACATTCTTAGTTACTGTAAGTAATGACAACAGAGATTGTTTTTGGCTATATGTAAGGTAAGTATAATCTCCTTTTGATCATGAAATGCTGTGAAATAGAGATGGAAAATACAGCTGAGGAAAGTGGCGATCTTTTTTAGCAAAAAAAAAAAAAAAAGTGTACTTTGATTTCAGGTTTCTTACTTGATTTATAGTGCACTTTGTAATGTATTATTTAAAAGTATTAATGAAGTTTATTGTTTGCAGGAGTTAATTCCCTCTGGYAGTATATTATCCAATGCTTTGAGTTGGGGAGTGAAGATACTTCATATTGATGGTAAATATTTTTKTTTGATAAATTCTAATTAGAACTTGTAACATTGATTTAAATATTATTTTGTTGCATGTAAAATATTCAAAACMAATCACTTAAATGCAAAAAACTCAGCTAAATATAATTCTTCCTCTTTTTGCAAGACATTAAAAATTACATTGAACAGAAGAAAAAGGAGCTCTACCTAGTCAAAAAAGTGAGCAGTTCTAAGGATGTGGTAAGTGGATCTTTATAAGATTTTTTTTATTAAAAGACAAATAGCAAACAGACAAATGCTGATTGATTTGAATTTATTAAACTCTTGCTCGCTTTCAGTTTTTCATTAATTGAGGGATTTTATGGATTTATTTTAAAAATCACTGAAAAATAGAAGCAAAATTATTAAGTAAAATGCGAAATAATTTTCACAATGATRTTATTCTTTCTCCTTTTTTTAATAGGGCAAACGATGTGCCACGCAGAAGTCAAGAAGTGAGTATCTCAGTGTGCACAGAAGTTTCATGCTGAGCACTTAAACATAGTGCAGTTCTCATCTGGTGAAATGTGTTATATTCCAATTTGTAGACCTTAGAAAAGCTTGTAGGAAAACTTTCTGGAAATCTGGAATTTATTAAAACAGGCATGATGAATTTTAAAATAATTTCAGCTCATCTATTCAGGTATTGATGTAACTTGCTAAATGAAGAAAAATATTTTTCTTTTAATTCCGTTTTTTTTTTTTCCCTCGGAGCAGGTAAACTGAAAAACCCATTTGTGAAGGTGGAAGATAGAAGTCGGTGAGTGTTCTTGTGCACTTGCAATGCAGTTCTTAGAGTGAATCATGGGGAAGCACCCTGTCTACCTTGAGAAAGTAGCCTTCAGATGTCCTCTTTTTGGTCTTGCTGACTTTAGATGTTACACAAAGCAGGATTCCTCTTGTAAGATGGAGAATTGTGTGTCACCTGCTCTGTGGTAGGTATCTGTTTAGCCACTGAATGAGATCAAAGAGGTAGTAGTATAGTCAGCAATACTTATTGCAGCAGTAGAATCAACTGTAGCTTCAGATTGTAAGGTAGGGCAGATTTGTATCCTGCCAAGGGCCACATGAATTTAAAGGAAACTTGGAATAATTGAACCTTGATATTTCACCTACTTTTTTTTTTCTTTTCTTTTCTTGGATCCCAATCCTGCAGTCTAAAAGGTTAATAAAGCTCTGTGTATTAACATAAAATCTTGTACTCTAATTCAGTAACATTCATCTCCTTGAGAAAGTGTTTAGGTAGATAGATGTAAGGAAAATGGGTTTGTTGTACTTGAAGTCATTCCTTGAAACTGATTTTTTTTTTTTATCAATTATTTCTTAAAAATAAGAAACCATTAACCTAACTTCATTTCTTTGCAGTGCTGCCCTAGTTACTTCTCTGGAATATGGATTGTATAGTTTGTTACTCCAGTCTTCACAGGCATAACAGCCATACGCCTGCAGACTGTGCAAGAGCTGTTGAAACTCGCAGCAAATTTTATACTTTGAGGAAAGTCTCAGGTTCAGAAAGAAGGAATGACTTGCAATATTCTAGGATATTTATCCGCTTAGTTTTTTATGGTATATTAGGTGTAAAAGACAAACACTTCTTGAGCTACTTTTTTTTTTCCTTTTTCAGTGGTTCTAACACAACTTTTTTTATCTATCACAGGCACTACCGACCATTTTACCTGCAGTTCCCCAGCTTCCCAGTTCTGAACTACTGTGTTCCAAAACCATATAGTCCATTTGAAGTGGATAAGAAGCATCCCTTTGGTCAAAGACAAGCACAATCTAAGCAAAGGTATCTTGAAAATTCATTATTGAGTTGTCGATAGAGGAACAAGAGGTGAAGAGTCTGTTTTCCAAAATAATTACTTCTCCTCTTATCTTGTATGATGCGTAACATTAATATGCATGTCTCGTTGTATCCTCTGCAGCTGTGAGTGTCTGTCTGTCTGTCTTTCTGTACCTTCTTTATTCTGTCATTAGTCCTCCTTTTGGACAAACAGATGCATACATCCCAGTATTTGGTCTTCTATCACCCTGGGTCAACATAAGATCTCTTACTCCTTTCTGCCACTGATTTCTTCTTTRTCCTCATCTTGGATGCCATCCAGTAAGTATTTTACAAGTAAATCTCATAAATCTTCATTTGACATTTCTATAGTCAGCATAAACTAGACCATTAATATTTTTAAATAATAAAGTGGTGCCACTTGTGATACAGAATCATTGCTGCTAAAGGGTGCAGTTGCTTTACATGGGAAAATTATGTGTATAAATTGGGGTCAGCAGTATAGCTTGAATCCTTGAGACGTGGAAAGGAGATACTACCTGTAGCAATGGAGCACTACCTGTGCTTGGCCTTGTAACAAAGGTTTACATGACATGATTTTGCATTCAGGCTGTGTTTGAGCACTGTAGAAGCAGTGTTGATTTTTGGTGGATTAGTTTTATGGTTTGGCTTAAAAGTTTCTGATCCCTGGAGATCTGAACTCTTCTTTCCTGAACTTTCTTGAAAGATATGTGGARCATTGCTGACTATTTCATTAACTTCAAAATTGATGTTACAGTGTTCATGTGAAAGATTGAACTTATTTAGTGAGAAGAAAATGGGCTTTGCGTGGCCCGTTCTGTATCTGGTAGCTTTTTCTGCTCTTCTGTCCTTTGTAGTTACAAAGTACTTCATTTGGGGATGTTTCTAGTGCAAGTATTTTTGCCCAACACAACCACACTGACCATTTTATCTGCAGTTACCTGGTCTTCCCATGTGATGTGTTTTCTTTAGAAAAATGAACGTGTGATTTAGATGCAATCCTTGCTCTCTTCATAAAATAACTTCCGGATTCTTCATGGTCTGTGCAGTCTTTAGTGCTGCTCCATTGTTGGAAGCCTCGGTTGGTGTTGCTGTGATTCCCTCCCCATTTGGATGGAAGTGAATGCAGTGATGTGAAAAGCGCAGAGCGAAGGTAGCACAGTGCAGCCTTGGCAGCCSTGAAGGGATTTGTGGTGGGGCCTCTTTCATTGTGAAGAAAGGGGCTAGAAAGGGCCAGTTGTGCTGGATATATTCTTAAAGACACAATGTTCTTCTCTGTTTGTATGGRCTAAGGAATATGATATGCAAGTTTTAAACTTGAGAAATTAAGTTGCTGGGAGTATTTCTACATAATTTTTCAATTTGACACCTTTCACAGAGAGCTTTGGTGGGATATAATTTTGTAGCTAGCAAGTGTGAAATAGGTGAGGGTGAGGGGAGAGCCATCAGTTTGGGCAGGATGGGAATCTGGGAATGCTCATCTGTTCTGTCTTCTCTGGGAAAGAGAAGCTTGTTTAAGTTAAATGGTCAAATATATTTGCTTCTGTATAAAGCAAGGCCTACCAACATTAGATATTCTTCACATAGTAAATTCTGCCCCTTTTATTGTGTCATCACAAACTTTCCTAATTCTTTGTAATTTTTTTTTGTAATTTTAAAGAGAGAAAATGAAAAGGTCCTTTTTAATAGAAGTAAAAACACCTGTTCTGTGAACTAAAAGAAATGTTGAAATGGCTGCTGTTGAATTAGACTCCTGTAGGTTGAAAGCTGTTGCAGAAGGAGCCCCCGTGCATCGTGGCAGGCAGTACCTTGCTGTGCTCTGTGCAGGGTGCGGGTTTCTCAGAGCAGGGTTTGATGTCCAGCTCCTGCAGCTGCCTCTGGGCTGGTGCAAGGCGGGTCAGTAGGACGGTGCTGCTGTGTGGCAAGGCAGGGAGGTGACACCCTTCCTCTGAGCTGCAAGGAAGGCAGAGGTGGGTGCTTTGGGTTTGCTGCTAGCCTATCCTCCTGTGCAAGTATAATAGCAGTTACAGCAAGCAGTAGCAGAAACAACAACACAAAAAGAAGTTTTAAAGGCAATGGAAGTGATACTAAAATCATTGTGTGCTTTTTTTTTGAGAGAGAAGAACTTGAGATTCATTTCCCCGTGTTTCCACTTAAACCTGTACCAAGAAAAATGGGGCAGAAAAGGTACTTGGTTGGCACGCTGAAGTTGTGTTTGGCCAACAGATGTGACTGTTCTTTACTTTTKTTTCGGTGTGAGAAGTCATTTACTAGACCAAGTGCTTTTGCTGCATGTTGCCTGGAGATCAGAAAGACTGATGGCAGATGAGATGTTAGGATTCTTTTTCTCTCTCTTTTTTTCTCTTTTACCAGTTTTCTTCTCTTCCTGGTAATTCACTGAGACTTCAATACTGCCTTTGATTTGTCAATTAATATATAAATATGTTTACTTAATTTTTGTTCAAAAGTATCAACCTGGACAAATTTTATTCTTTTTATAAGGTTTAACATCTGCCTATGTTGTTTCAGTAAATCTGTTTTGTTTTTAATCATTGTGTCATGTTTCTTTCCTGTGTTTTCCTAAGCATTGATTAACCTAATGTAAATATTTTGAGCAGATTTTTTTTTTAATTTACTGAATGTGAATGAACAAACAACACAAGAAGCAAGTTCAGAGTTGAGCTCCACATTTAAAATTGATTTATATATATTTTGTCTGTTAACAGAAACAAAACAAATAGCGAAAAGGACTGTGGAACTCCTGCTCAGCTCCCTCAGAAGGATAAAAAAAAGAGAGGCTATTGTGAATGCTGTGGGAAGAAATACGAAGATCTGCAAACAGTATGTAAAATATCAATTATATGCTTTTGAGCGTGTAAGTCTTACGTTTATAGGGTATTTTTTTTTGTTTTAAAAGATTTTTCAAGTATAGCTTCTAAAAACTTGCAAGCTTTTTGTGTTGTGATTTTTCTCTTTCCTGAAGTAATTACCAACTGCTGGCTTAGTGCAGCTGAAGGTGCATTTCATATGTTGGAGACCTGTTAATAATAAATTACCAACATTTTGCTTATTGCCTCGTGTCATTGTGTTGATTTATGTCCTCACATCTGTTGTGCTGCCTTTGCCCCATGGCTCTTCTCTCTTTCCAGCACCTTGAGAGTGAGCAGCACCGCAGATTCGCTCAGAGCACCCAGTATCACGTGGTAGATGAGATCATCTCCAGGCTTGCTTACGAGTTTGTTCAATACAAAGATGACACAAAAGTAGTTAAAAGGTAAGTTGCATGTTCTAGCTTTTAAAGCAGAAGGAATCAAGACATTGAACTGAAKTGATACTATAGTTCTTCAACTCTGAATCTGGTGCAGAGCAAGTTCTTAGTTTTTAAATATATTTCTGAAGTTTCCAGTGCAACGGTTACCAGGAATATGTTCTCTGAAACAGAAAGTTTGRTGAGGAAAAAAGTCATTGGCGTCATAGGAAAATAAGGCTGGAGCAAATTGTTGTCTATTCTTCAGCTTTATAAAAGAAAATTCTTTATAAAAGAAGATTGACTGGTCTAAAGTCCTGCTGACAGAGCTTTATCTGGACGTCTTTCTCTCAAAACATGATCTTTATAGCCTAAGTAGGCTGAGTCATGGCCTCCCTCATCAATGTGATCCCCTTATTAGTGGGAAAACTTTTCCTAGTGTCATTCAGATCTTCCTCTCAAAAGCTGCTAGCTCCTCTTCTGCTGGTGCTAGTTAAGCACAGYGTGTTGTGATGTGTATTTACCTCTTTAGTAATTTACGGAATATTTAATCTGTAATAATTTGGAAAAAGAAGTATAATAATTTCCATAATGATTTGGTTTTATTGTGTTTGTTATGTATCTGCTATGTAACTGAAAATGCAAAATTTTATAAAAGTATCTACACAGCTCTGTTATCACTCATTTTGTTTGTTTTTAATAAAGGTAAATAGGTAAAATATAGTAAGCCCTCAAAATTCAAGCCTCTCTAGTTTCTTTGTGCATACACATATGCACGTGTTTATTGTATCTTCATCCTCTAAAATCTGAATGGGAGGAGAGGACTTGTATCCTGAAATATTTAGGTTAAAATGATGAATAAGTTCTAAAGGGTAGTGCTGCTTAAAGGTGTCTTAAAGGTGTSTTTAATTAAGCCCAGATTTCTTGGTTAGTTGCAAGAGTGACTAARTTCAAGATTGCTCTGTTTTACTGGTAAATGCTTYAGGAGGTAAATGAAGACAAGCAATGCCTAATGCAGGCAACCATTCCTTCCTTCTTTTGTCATACAAAAAGRTTCAGAGTGGTTAGGCTTGAAAGGCTATTTCAGGAACTTACATATAATTGTGCTTATTTTTTGTCAGTGTATTGGTGTATTTGTAGAATATTTAGTCATTTTATAGTCATTAAGTTAGTTCTTAATACTATTGTGAACTGAAATTTATTTAGCTACTAAACTGCTTGCTTGGGGCACTTTTAAAGTAATTCCATGAGAATGTAAACTTATTTCCATAAGAAATCAATAGGGAAACATCAAATTTAAAAGCAAGGCACACACTTCACAGAGAAATAGGTAGAGAGGTGTGTGTGTGTGTGTAGGCACATGTGTTTACTTTTGKTTTTTTTGTGTGCACTGCGTGATTAAAGTGATGTTGTTACCCTAGTTTCGTTCAACAATTTGCCTGTTAATCCTTGTAAATATTAATTTGTATATATTTATTTTTAGGACAAAATGTAGTACAGGATTTCCTGTGATTGGAAAAGTAGCTAAGCCAGATGAGCTGAAAGAACGCCTGAAAAGGCAATGCCTTTCCTTGAAAAGCAGCTCATGGAAGGACAGCACAATGCAGAGGCTCAAGCTGGATCATCGGCCTGCAGAAGTGCACCCACATTCCGTGCCAGTGCCTCCTCCTCCCTCTGGATCTGCCTGTCCAGTTYTTCACTGCCATCTGTCCCAACCTTCAGAAGCAAAAGGTAAATTCAAGAATAATGTTGAAAATAGTAAAACTGAGTTTTCCTGTGCTGCCAACTTAGAGGAGGCTGTTCTATCATCAAGCTTCGTGCAGCTGCTGCCTCAGAAGGATGACAAAGCAAACACCAAGAACGTGTCTCAAGCTTCTGAGTCATTCAGTAAAGAAATCTCTGAAACAGAGGTACCTAAAAAGAATTTAAAGAGCTTACAGGAAGGTGTGTGTACGTTATATTCTCATACCCATGGTACAGATTTTACTGAAAAAGACAAAAGCTTACCACAGCCCAAAAGAAAATTAAATAATGCAGTTGTTCAACCAGTGAAATRCTTGAAGAAAATGAATGCAGATCCTGTGTTTATCAAAAAACATGATTTGTRTGATGATCATCAACAGATAGAGCACAGTGTTGTTCCGGGCACGAAGGCATCTGGTAGCGCTGTAAGCAACGAACTGAATGGATGGGCTGCCAGCACAGCAGCCAGTTCCCCGTCTGGGAAGCTGCACAGGAAAGTAAAGCTTTGCTTAGGCAAACATAAAAGAGAAAAATGGAAACAGAACCTAGAGTTGTGTGCTAAGAACCCTGATGGACTCTCTGTTTCTGAAGAGAAGAGAAGCGCTCGCAGCTCCCCGGTGCAGGCTCTGCTGGAGTTATTTSAAACGAGTGAGGTCAACTCAGATTTTGGAGGGTTTTCCAGTCACCCTGAGAACAGAGATTTGACAAGCATGAGAGATATCTGGGAAGGGCAGAGCACCAATGTTGTGTGGTCACTATTTTCCTCTTCATCCTCATCCCCATTTATTGGATTTTAATGCWGCTTTATTTAACACAATGACTTTCAAATAAATTTGCAGATTGAAGATTTTATTCAGGGAAACTTTAATTCCTGTGTTTTATGTACAGATAGTTTTGGTTTTTTATCTTTATACATTTGCGAATACGTGTGTACAATATGAAAAATAAAATGATAAAGAATTTTTTTTCTTTAAAAGTATTACTTCATCAGAGGAAGAAAGACTCTTACTTCAGGTAGGAGATTAAATTAGATCCTAGACAAGATCAGTAAGTGATAAGCAGCTGCTTTCTAGTGTAATAGTTTTCTAAAGTCATTGAATGTGCACATTTTTCTACCACATCATAAATGAATGGACCTGCTTTGGTGAATAACGTAGTACGTTTCTAATGGGCCACTCACTGGGGACTTGTGGAGGTTTGGTTGCTTCCATTTCTCTTCCTCTGCTGCTGTCGCGCTAGAGGACGCAAACCAGAACGCACTGCTTCCCTAGTACTTCATCTGGTGATGCCGTCTCAGGGATTCTAGGTTATTATAAAGAACTAGGATTAGGAAAGCCTGCTCCGTGTGTGTGTATGTATATGTGTGTACTTGCTGTTCAAAAGAAGGCAAGAACGAAAACACAGCAGGTTTCTGATTAGATTCGAGTTCTTGATTTCATTTTTATTTCCGAATAGCCATCCTTCCTGCCTAGCTTACGTGGTGGCAGAGTGAGAGTACGTGTGTGAGAACTGGGAAGGCTCTTTCAATTCTCTGAGTCTTTCCTAGAGTTTATCCCCGCTGGGCTTTCTGTATCTGCCCATCAGTGCAGGGCGTGAATACTGAGGTGCAGTTACCTGCAAAGCTTGATTAGTAACGCGAGTCCCTTAGCACTGCGTGTGGAGTCTAAACCCACAGAAATTACTCTTGTTGCATTTTGCATAAATTGTCGATATTTTTATTCCTATCCCCRTTAGTCACAAATGTCCTGTCACTGTTCTTACGTACTGCTGTCTGTCTTCAGGTAGAGCKTAGGTGAAGCTTCTTGGAGTGCAGAGGAGTGACCAGGGTGATGCAGTTGCTTTCTTCAAACAGCRTATGAACTGGCAGCTTAATGATGTGCCTGTGTGCAAGTTGTGAGGGCACTGACATCACCCGAAAGCTGGTGGTCCTCGTTGCCCTGTTAATGTAATTGCCTGTAGGGTTTGGTAGGAACTAGTTTCATCACTCGAGCTTACCGGTCAGGTCTGGCTTTGTTCGTAGTTGCTTCTCATCTGTGATTCACAAGAAAATTAAAATGCTGAGCAAAGTCAATACTTGAAAAATGATTCATCTTCAGTATGTGTGTGTGTGTCTCTGTATGTATTTTGCCTATACTATAGAATACTGCCTAGTATTCTAGGAGTGACTTTGTAAAGTAGAACACTGAAACAATGAAAATAATGACTTTGTTCTTCAGTTCCAATTTTCTTTTCTCTCCACAGGATCGGTAAAATATGGGTCTTTCCCTAACAAACACTGTAGCACTCTGATCATAAACTCCCCTGCCCCACTTGCTAGTCTAATTTGAGGGCCTCCACCTGACTGAAAGATATATTCACAGTTATATAAATGATTATATTCGTATGAAATGCTCAGGTGAAAACTARTCACTGTTAGTAAATCTACTTGTCCCATCTCCATTCATTTTTACCGCATTTTTTTGCATGTTATATAATACAACACTGTAACATGGTAGTTCAATGGGCATTACACAAAGGCAATTTAAACATTAATTAGAATCTGGCTTTGGAATATTATGGGGGGGAAAAAATCAGAGGTTTGTTAGTAAAGTGATGTGAAGAATAGTCACTGTAACGCATGGTGACTGGATGACTGGAATGAGATATAAAAGTCAATTTTATTTGTCCCCAAAGCAGTTAGTTGTGATGCCAGTTTTGCATGTAGGTCATCATAGTCATGTTAAGTCTCCCATTAAAATCCCCCCTCCTTTACATGTCATATATTTATCAGATAGCCTTACGATGACGTTAACTTTATTTCTAAGGCAATTCTATTCATTGTATTGTGCATAATTTTCATGTGTTTATCTTTCAGGTTATTTTTTATTATTATTTTTCAAAAGCATTAAAGGAATTGCTCTGCTATTAGAAAAAATAATTAAATACGGAAAACTAGTTACTAGGATATTTGTCCATCTCTGATTTTATCTCAAGACTGCAGAGAAAGGAATGTTGCAAAATGTGTGGCAGGAATCCTGAGAAGTCGGAAACATCCACAAAGCTCATAGTTCACTGGACTAACGCTTTAGCACTAGAGTGCACTTTGTAATTATATCTGTGATAGTTAGACAAAACAACTTAAACTCTCCTTGTAGCTCTGAAGCTTCCATCTGAAAAGTGATTGTATGGATTTGAGGATCTTGTTTAGGTAATTTGAATGCTCTGTCTAGAAGTAGTTGTTCCTAATTGTGACTTTGTTTCTGTGGTGACAGGTGAAACGTGGAGCTATATTCCTRTGTGTAGAGGGAGAATCACTTTTAATGAAGCATCTAAGTCTTACTGTTTACAAACCTGTAAGCTTTAATGTTTGTGTCAGACACTATTTCATTTTAAAATTTGGTTTAAAAACAAAAAGCCCTACACTTCTGTGTTTTAAAGCTATTCTTAATTATGCGATTATCCTGGGGCACAATTATTTTTACATATAGGTGAGGGAAGCATATTTCTGGCAGTGTTTTGTTTTGTATTATTACTATTTTTTTTAGTTTACCTTATGGTATGAAAAAGGCCTGTGTTTCAGCACACAGGTACCATTACCAAAAGCCTGGCCAGAGAGTAGCYTGGTTTGGTAATTTAATGTAAGGAGGAGTTTTAGCTGGCTGGCTGTTCACACCTACTTTGTGCTTCGCATACTACTATAGGAGAGAGCAAAGGATCCTGCAAGGATCCAAGATATTCCTAGGTTTTATTTTTATTTTAATACATGTTGCACCAGGTGTGGAGTGACCTGGCTGCCAAAACAGTTGGCAAAGGATCTAACTGCTCTTGGCTGTGGCAGGAATCCAGAACTGTCCATCTTCAGGAAGGCAGATCATTTAAGATCAGTTAAGCTTTGAACAAAGAACTGATTTTCAGGAGCAGTGTGCCAGAACATGTCCACACCTTTAACTGGAACAAAATACTTGTCGGGAAGATGTATGATGCCATTTGAGGCCTACAACACTGAGTTTATGGCTAAGTGGAAATGAAAGCCCAGACTCTGGAACCGAGATCAACAGCTTGGCTCAGAAGCCATCACCAGGTAAGCAGAGGTAAGAGCCTCTTCCTTCCATTCTTAGGCCGTGCTATGAGGCCTTTGGCTACAGCAGTAGAACTTGYAAAACTTCCTGGCCATGTTTGGAGGACACATTTTTACAGGTAAGAGACTATCAGCCTCCCCCTCTCCCCATCTTTRATCCTCTCCTGCTGCCCACGAAGGAAGCAGGAGCTGGGCAGCAGCAGAGCCAGGCCTTGGGCTCTGGGCTAGTCCTGGCCAAGGTGGYCAGGGCATCTGCTTGTTCTCCCTGCTGAGGTCCAGGGTTGTTGGCAGATGGTGCATCAGGCTGGTGGGACAGGAAATAGCACAGCCYTGCAGAGACCAAAGTGAGCAGCATAGTTTCTCTGTAACAACCTGCACCAGTGACAGGACAAGGGATAAAGGATACAAATTGAAATACAGGAAGCTCCATCTCCATGTGAGGAAGAACTTCTTTCCAGTGAGGGTGACAGAGCCCTGGMACAGGCTGCGCGGGGAGGCTGTGGARTCTCCTTGTYTGGAGACCTTCCAAACCCGCCTGGATGCCGCCCTGTGCCCCGTGCTCCGGGTGTYCCTGCTGGAGCAGGGGGTTGGACTGGATGATCTCCAGAGGCCCCTTCCAACATCAACCAGTCTGTGATTCTGGGATCTCATTAACACTGAGCATGTTAATGCCTGTTCCGGCCTTCAGAGGTCACCAGTGGGCAGGAGGTGACGAAATCTTACGTTCTACCTCAACCCCACAAGAAAGCAGTCGTAAATTACCCGTTCTCACTAGCACTTCGTTGTGTTGCTTCCTGGACTACGTAACTTAAAGGTATACGATTCCTTAAATATATGTGAGTGTGAATGGATGCTGCTTCCTTAATCTGAAGAGCCTCTGCTCTGAAGGACTATTGGTATTCACACATCTGTGGTTGTCTATGAGAACAGGAAAAATGTGGGGAAAAGATGGTAGCTTTCCTCTGATATAGGAGGTACACGGACACKGGATGAAAATAATAACCTCAATGCTCCCCAGCTGGAGAATCTCTGCAGACTGTGGTCCATGTGTCCTCTGGGCTGCTGATAGGCACCAAAGGTTGATAAAGGCGGCCTAGGAGGCTCTTTGACCGCATTGCCAGCACAGTGGCACCAGGATCATAGTCTGCCTTGGCCTTAAATGGGTTTCTATCTCCAAGTAATCTGGATCTACAGATGCTCTGTATCTGGGAATTTTTGAGATGTATAGTTGGGTCACATTAAGAAATAAGTAAAATTTTTGAAATCATCAAATGTAAAACTAGAAACAAAATTTAGCAAGCTTTTATGGGATTCTTGGGTGAGCAAATAGTTTTGATATTTACTAGCAGCTAGAGTCCCCTTTAAATACAACAGGAAAACAAGAAAGATATGATCTCATGAAAATCTGATGAATTGTTTGTTTTCAAATATTGTGGCCTAAATCTAGCTGTGACTTCTATATTCTTCTAATATAGTCTAATATTCTTCTAATCGCAAYCCTTCAAGATAAATGAGAAGACATTCTAGCAGCCAATTTATCCAAAGCAATTGCATGGTTTGTATATGTAGAATATATATTCAGGCAGACTCCAAATTGAACGGCAAAATGTATTTCCTTACATAACTAGTTCCCTAGACCTTATAAGGAGATTGTTTTGCTATCAAATACAAGTTAACACCACAGGTAATACCAGCTAATGGCAATATCTTCACTGATACTTGTAGCAAAGTGAAGTCAAGTCTGAACAGGTTTTACTAAGCAGATGAACATCTCCAAAGATGTCACAGGATAGATATCCTTTTCTTTTTTTTTTTAACTGTTTATTCCATAAATGTTATGGTTGGGTACTGATACTCAGCAATGCATTCACATTAGAGAACACAGTTATCCAAAATGAGCATTGCAGATATAGGACCGTAAAAAGATGTGGGATGCAAAGCAGCTAGGTGGATTCTAATATCCTTTGAGATAAGGCAGTGTTACATTCTCATGGCTATCAAATTTGTGCCAATCTTTTTAATTTTGGAGTCAGAGGAGTTCCTCTTCAAGACTGAGTGTCTCTAGTTTTCAGTGCRTGCAGGTGGATAGGTTATAAAACCCAGCCTTTCTCTGACCCTCAGAGCAGTTCTGCAACCTGGGACTCCAGCAGCAGGAGCCTGAAGGTTACTCCAGGGAAGTCGGTTGCCAAATGATGGTCATCGCCGCCGACCTTCGAGCCACCGAGCGGACTAGGACYTTGAACAAGGGTCTCCCTGTGTTGGGTGCAGGCACTGCCCCAGCACGAGCCATGGAGGTTCATCTCACAGGTACAACCTCTGCAGGCAGGAGGTGGGAGCTCAGCAGGGACACAGTCCCTGGGAACAGGAGGAGTCTGCTCCTCAGGGAGGAAACTTCTGAATCTTCCCCATTTGCTTAGCTGAGAAGAGATTTAGCTGRTCTCCAAGGACTGCTTTAACCTTTCTGGACTCAGCTCTAGGGGCTACCTTGGAAGATCTAAGCAGAAAGCTCCCAAGTGGRTGTATGTTTGGTATGTTGTGACACATACCTGAGATGTTTTTGGAACAATTTTTACTGGCAGCCTGCCTTCCAGCCACTTGAATAAATGCTCATTTGGAAAAATACATAAATAAAGGCTATTCTGATTTTTTAAGCATGTGTGATAAAGAAAATATTAGTTTGTTTATACCACTAGAATTTTAGAGAAATTACCAGTATTAAATCTTATTTGCAGTTCACCCAGGCTAATCTGCTTCCAGCAGTGGCCAGGAGCAGTTTTGCACTAAAGAAGTGCAGAGTCCTCTGCAAATAACTAGATGTGGGATATCTCTCCCCTCCCCTGCAAAATCAGGTTGATAACCTTAGACTGAAAAMTGGATTTAAAGCACAAGGCTTTTGTCTAAAACTGGCTATTCTTTTAGTCTGTAGGAATGTCTTGTCCTTCTTGAAATCTTTCAAAATGTTGACATCACTAACAAAGTCCAAGTCTTCACAAGTCTTCAGGGTCTATTACTTGCTATATGAAAGCGTATTTCTTACCAGCTTTGAATTTGCTGCTTTTTAGTTTGACTGTCCTCTTGTTCACACTGCAAGGAGAAGASAAGGTACCAGCTTACCTTCTCTATACCATCTATATACACTCATAGGGTATTTTGCTGTTCATCGTCTTTCTGAACAGCCCTGGTCTTTCTGGTTTCTATCACTGTCCTTCACCCAGCCTTGCAATATTCCCTTTGAGAATAGCCAGTGTACTCTTCCAAATCAGGCTGTGCCATCAATTTAACTTCAAAATGGAATCTTTTTGTTCTATACTTACATCTAGAACAAATTGCATACACTTCCTCTTTTGAGGTAGTATCCATTTCCTAAAC